GCAAAAAACTGCCATGCCACTACTACTGCCAATCCTCCTCCTGCTAACTTAATAGCCTACATCCTGTAGGGGTCGGAGTCGGAGTAGTAGTATATAGTAGTAGTAGTAGTAGTAGTAGTAGCAGCAGCAGTAGCAGCAGTGGTAGCAGTAGCAGCAGCAGCAGTAGCAGTACCAGTAGCAGTCGCGTAGTCATCGTCATAGTAGTTCTGGTCGCAGCTGTAGCTGTGGTAGTCGAAGTCGAAATCGTCGTTGTAGTCGGCTTCGTCAGGGCATGCTGTTCACAGAGGCAGTCGAACACTGCAGCACTCACTGATCCTTGAGTTTGGACGTGCGAAAGTGGCAGACATGGTTTGGATCGTTCACCCGAAGCCCTGTACGGACCAGGCTGGGCCCTCGGTGCTCCTCTCGTCCACCACCAACATTGTCGCTTTTGCCCTTGGGGCTGGTGCGCTGCCATGTCCTTTCGGAGAAGACTGTCAACCATTATCATTAACAACTGTAGAGTACTGGTAGCTGTAGTAGCTGCGGTAGCAATTGCACTGGAAGTAGCTATAGCCGTAGTAGCTAGCCGGACGGGGGGGGGAGGAGTAGGAGGAGGAAGAGTCACAGGTACTCCCATGCCGGCGCTGATCTCCTTTTGCATCTACACGAGCGTGGGCATGGCCACGGACTTCGCGTTTCAAGTGACTTTCTTCGTTGCCATGCTGGCCTTGGACGAGAGGCGCAGATATTGATGGAGTCGGTGAGTAGGGGCACATCACCAGCATTGATTCTACACTGATTCTTCACTTACACCGTTTCCTGTGTCGATGGAAGTCACCCCTTGCAGTTTCACCCGATCGTCTAAGTACTCAAAAGAACACCAAGTATTTCGTTGTCCTGGACAAGTAAGGACCTCGAGTCACCAACTGCACAGAGGGCACAACATGTAGTAGATCAGTAGATCTGGTCTGGCGGGAGCCTGCAGACTCAGTCTCTCATACGTTGTGCTGGAGTCTCTTCATGTGCATCACTGGGGCTGCACTTTCGGATACTTTGGGTATCTTGTCCGACAGGTTGACAGAGACTGGGACTAAGACTAAGAGTTGGACTTGACTGGGATTGCAAGCGCTTAGACATGAAGCACGCTGGAATCTGCGCGAGTGCAGGCGCAGACGATGCAGTCCTTCATGCTCAATCATCCCTGAATTTTGTCGTGTTGGCCGGATACATTCATGCGGCGGGCAAGGACTACCGCAGGTGCAGCTGTTATGCTTCAGTATTGATAACACCTAAGAAAGCTTGGCGCTGACCCAGAGGCCTTGACAAAGTCTTTAACCTCCTCGGCATGGCTGCGGAGTGCAATCTTACTACTTTGGCTGACGTTGATGGCCGCTTCGACAGTTGTGGCCTTCGACTTGAAGGCGCAAGAAGTCTGTCTGCGTCTGCGGCTTGTACGTACGATTCAATTGTGCGTAGCGAGAAAGTCAGCTGAGCAGGTGGGCCTGGAGCCACAAGAGCTCGTGCCTGCCAGTTCGATGACAGCGGCTTACTTTCGTCAACTCGCAGTGCTACCTTCGGAAGCTGAATTTCCAGAGGTTCTAGTCCAACATCAGGACGTGGAACCCGCAAGAATGCACCCATCAGGTGTCGCATGTGAGGCGGCACTGGACCAAGTCTGGCCTCATAGCATCTTTCAGCGTAGTGGCATGCATGGCACGGCATAGCGGATGTTTTGCCGTCCGGGAAGGACATCGCCGACTCAGCCCTCGGCGTCGGCGTTGCTCCGCTTGAAGACGCATCAACACAAGAGGGGATGCTACATCTGTACGATTCTTTGATTGCCTCAACCGACGTCATTGACTCGTTCGGCACCTTCTGGCTAAAGTCTTTCATGGAGGCTGAGAGAAAACGTGGTTCTCCTCCTGGTTGGAACTCAGTCGATTTGACTGGAAAGCTCGAGTCTTTCATGATGCCCGTCTGTTCGAATGGCTCGCAACACTTTTGGAAAGCAGGTTGTAGATTGTAGACTGCTGGCACTGCTGGGGACTCATTCGTACTCAGTCCATACAGTACTCAGGAACTCATCAGAAGGCCAATCCCTGGAGCGTGCTGGAGCTTTCATCAGGCGCCCAAGCGTGGCAACGGCCAGTTGCTCCGTGCTTTAGTCACATGCCGCTTTCACAGTGATAGTGGATAGGACAAGCTCTGGATCCCTGCTGGCGACGCGCATCCGCCTGCTCTCGACGGATTACAAGCCCAGGAAAATGCTGTCCCTCCGTGCCACGGTCAGTCAGGCGAACTTGCGCTTGGAGAAGGCCAAGCCAAAAAAATGGAATGATGATCCGCTTCAGTAACTTGCCCATCAGACCCTGCAGGCTGCATTCGTGTACTCCCCGTCAGACGTGTATCGAGAACAAGATGCAGTTCTAATCCAAAACACTACGGCGTCATTGCTGTTCATGCTTGTCGCGGTGCTGGCGGCGGTTTTTGTGCTGTCCTTCAACTTTGCAATGATGGCCGCTCTGACGCTCGCCTTGTACTCCTGCTGTGTGCACATGTTCGGCTGGATGGTCTTGACTGGGCTGAAGCTCAACTCGCTTTCTGTAATTCCTTTGCTGCTTTCAGTGGGCCTGTGCGTTGACTACTGTGCGCACATCGCACACTCTTTTTGGCACATGCCGGGTTCCTCGAAATCAAGAGCCCTGGCAGCTCTACAGGGCCGTGGTCCGGCAGTGCTGCATGCTGGTGTAAGCACCGGCCTCTCTCAAATGCCCCTTGCTTTCAGCCAGTCGGCCGTGTTCACGACCTTCTTCATCATGATGACAGGGATGGTTTTGGTGGGGCTATTTCATGCACTCTGTGTGCTCCCCGTTTGCCTCAGCTTCTTGCCAGACACAGAAGGTGACAAGGACTGCTGTGTTGCCGGCTCTGGTACTCCCCCGGCGAAGATCGGCATATCAGACGGAGGCCATCCACCGCTTTAGGCGCCGACATCGCAACATACCTGGCACGCTTACAGCAGGCAAGCCGAAAGCCTTTACAGTCACGTCAGTGCTGAGGTCAAAGATCTGCAGCCCTCGTACCTTTCGATGGTTTGCCGTGGATTTTCCGTGCCAGGCATGTCAGGTGTTTCCGTCCCGCCGCATGGCGGACGCTTTAGTTTTCGGAGGTCTTACCCTCTCCTTTTCCGAGCCTAAGGTTCCAGCCAGAAAAGCAGACTGGCATCCGACTGTGTACTGTATGGTTGAGTGGACTTGCTGGCTGGCTGCATTGTGTGGCTTGATCAGCGCCATTCTTGTCACTGTAAGAACAGATTAGGCATGCTAGGCTTGGCATATATAGGCGCAAGTCAGCAAGGCACAGGTCCCGAGCCCCAAAGCTTCGAGAACGTTTGCTCACTCGGCCATGGACTCTCGGCGCATGGCACCAGAGCTCGCGGCAATGCCAAAGCCAGTCACAAAGACAGGCTCGACATTCTTGAACCGCCCATTCGCCGAGTTGATCGCCGACCGTAGTGCGGATCTGGCAGAATTGATCCTTTGCTTGAGCTTGCGGTAGTAGTAGTAGTAGTAGTAGTAGTAGTAGTAGGAGTAGTCGTAGTCGTAGTAGTCGTGGTAGTCGTGGTGGTGGTGGTGGTAGTAGTGGTAGTAGTCGTAGTAGCAGTGGTGGTGGTAGTGGTAGTCGTAAGGGTGGTGGTGCTGGTGCTGGTGCTACAGTTACAGCTAGTGCTAGTGGTAGTTGTGGTAGAAGTTGTTGTTGCTGTGGTTGTTGGGGTTGCTGTGGTTGTTGTGGTTGCCGTGGTGGTTGAGGTGGTTTTGGTTGTTGTGGCTGTTGTGGTGGTTGTGGTTGCTGTTGTGGTTGCTGGTGTTGGTGTTGATTTTGGTGTTGGTGTTGTGGTCGTGGTTGTGGTTGCCTATATAATTTGATGTTGGTGTTGGTGTTGGTGTTGCTGCAAGATCTGCGCGGAATGTTACTACAACCCTGCCCAAGGAAAGTCGAACTGAGTTCAGCCAGAGACAAGCTCCACATGGACGACATAGCCCTCGTGCGCTACCTGTGTGGGTTTGGCTCGGGCCTGAGTCCTCGGCAAGCAGTCCACGCTTGCTTATTCTTGACATGCTTCTACGAGGGGAGGAAAGCCGGCCCTGTCGATTTTCAGTCGAAGAAGCTCAGACTCAGACGTTTGAGATTTTCTGATTTTCAGATCAGGCACAGCTTGGCGTACCCCAAGAGGCACGCACCTTGCCCTGTGGGCCCGCCCATCTCCAAGTGCGGCTTTCCGGACTCCGACCCCTTGCCTCCAGATTCTCCCCAGATCCTTGGGACACATCATTCCACTCCGGACCATGTGATGTAAAGAAAGCACCCGTCGGCCCCAAACAGTAGTATCATGCGTCTGCATCCAACATGGGACCGCAGGGTGGCCCCGAAAAGCCCTTGCATAGGCCCAGTCATCGAACATGGTTTATTCCTGCAACTACTCTTCTACATCCACCTTCGCAGTCAAATTGCCAACTCCAACCCCACGCTCCCCCCCCTCCCCCGCAAAGCGACAAAGTTTGGGGATCAAGTGGTGCAACTCCGAATAGCTCTCGAGTCCTTGAGAAACCCGGGCTCTGCCGGCTGAATCTGGAAAGTCTTGATGCTCCAGGTGTCCGTGTCAGTCGGACGCAGCCGTGCCCGACTTTCATTCCTGTGGTTACTATTCACATCTGGCAGTTCCAATAAGCCGTCAAAACGGACGAGCGAGGCTGCTCCCTATGCTTTATTCGCAGACACATGTAGACACACACTCCCTGCATTTCCACGCAGTGTTTGACCGCCGGCATGGCATGGTGCATCTAAGTCGTTGGCCGAAGCCGGAGCTAACGAGGCAGTGTCCAGAACAGCTGTGCGGCCATCCGAGCAGCCGCGCATCTCAACACCATCAAGGCACGGCATGTGCAGGTTGTATGCTACGTCAAGACTAAGGCTGCGGTTGATATTCAATTAGAATCAGACGTTAACAGCATGTGAACGTCTTTGGGACATGCTGGGTCTAGCATAACTCAGTAAATACTGTTCAGCACTTGACGGCTCGAGGCTCGCCGACAAAATCCACTGAATGCCGCAGTTAGACGATTCAATTTAACGGTTCCGCCTAACTCCACAAGTTTTCAAGATCCCCAATCAAATCGGGATTCATTTGCTTGGCGTGGTGTCGTACTTGTAAATATTTGGCATTGAATTGGAACCCTACCGGCCCTAGCAGGCTAAAAGAACAACATTCACCAAATGGCTTGATGATTACAACCAAGCCTCCCTGCGAGCAATAGAATCACTAGAACCCCAATTGCGTCATGATTTAAATCCCTGGTGCTGCGTGCAAACAGTTGGTAGCTGACTTAGGCGCCTGATCAGGTTCAAGAGACAAATCGTTGAGTAGCGAGGATAGTACGACCGATTTCAAGGTTCATGCTCGATGAATTGTAACCGAATCACATTACATCCTCACTACATGCTGGGAGCTTTCTGCCAGGATCCACTTTTGCATGATTGTTTTAACTGCTTGGTTTGACGTCTGACAATCTGACGCTGTTGGGTGCTAGTCACGTTCGGCGGACACCGATCATTTCGTCACAGACTCGAACTCTCCAAAATGCTTTCTCAGAGTCATCACGCCGCCGTCTTTCCTACATTCATCTCTATGAACCTGACCTCAATGTCACTGCTGGCTTTGGCAAGCAGAGCTGGAATTGGGAGAGGAAAGTCTTGGGCGGCATTGGGCGGCAATAACACTGCCGACTTGACTTCGTTTGTGGCAGATTTTGGAGAAAATTTAATACCGTTTTAGTTTGGCATGGATTCGGGAAGCACACAATCCCGAGATAATTGTTGTCCGGCTTGGGCTGGTCTAGAGAGACGGTTAGATCCTGATGTAGTTCCGACATCTGTTTCGCACACCAAGCTTCGAGCAGACCGCAGCACAAAGTTGGAGAGACAACTAAATCATAAATGAGTTGTGCTGGAGCTCTGTGGTCCCCAAGGCGCCGATGGTGTAATTCACTCCAGAGTTGAGTTATGTTTTGCAGTCTTGGATTCACTTCTTTCCGCTCGCCGATTTGATCGCAGATGTGACAGAGCAATCAGGGCTGTACGTGCAAAAACCTGCACAAGGCAGACCTGCTGCAATCAGCCGAAGTTGCCGAGCCTTACCCCCGTGCGAACAGGATTGTGCCTCAGTCGCACCTAAACCACTCAAGCAATCAGGATGGTCGGTGGATGTGATCAACTGAGATGCTGCCGCCTAAATCCGCGAATTGACCACTGAAAGCCTGTAGCCGAGGCGCCATATTCGCAATTTCACCTTTGGGAATCTGGGGAGTCTCGGCACTGCACCAGTACCAGCAGGCCATTTCGACTTGGTGACAGCGTGTTTTTAACCGTTAGTTGTTCACTTTCATTGTTGCATCCGCTTGAGGACCGAATGCTGTTTATCGTCCCTGTCGCACAAACAGACTTCAAGCAGCTTATGAAGGTAGCTTCTGAAGAGGCCTGGCTGCTGAGAGTTCCGTGATGCAGTTCTGATGTAGGCCAAGAAGCGCCAGCGCCAGCGAATGCCAGCAACGTCCCGCTAAAAACAGCGTAGCATCGGGGTTGGGAGTTCATACTGTGATGATCTGGTATCAAGAATCAAGAACTTGCCGTGGGAAGATCAGCGTGGCACTTTACACACGACTCTGCGCTTCACACGCTCCCAGTTCGCGGACACACGACTTGGACGAAGCAATCACGCCGACATTTTCGCCGCCGCGAGAAGACCTATTGGAACAGTACGCCTTTGCCTGCATCGAATGGAAGGAACGAAGCTTCCGGAAATTTTGTGCTGGGCCGTGGGGCGCTGACAAGACTGCCATACATGGCGGCTGCAGTTTCCGTGCAGGAGGCAGCTCCACCTGGATGTGCGGCTCATCAAACAAATCCGTTAACCCTTGCCATGCCTTGCTGACCCTACCCTTTTGGGTGACTAGACATGCACAGATTGAGGCATCTCACTGTTTGCACTAATCGAATCGGATCTGCACGTGCAAGTTTTGGGAAGCGCCCATGTTAGTTGCGCCAGTGTGGTAAACCAGGACATTATCAACTACAGTCTTCATACCGCGCGGAGACTTTGGAACTGGGTTGACAGGACGGAGATATCTGTAAATCTGAAAATGATGCCCTACGGTGTGATCCCCGAGATGCTTTCCGATGAAAGAGTCAGGACTTCGCGCAAGTTGGGCAGAATCATGAAGTACGAGGCACAAAGACGGATTAGGGGTCGGTGACACATGCAAAACCAAGCATTATCTCCTTGCACTGCCCACTTCTGGACAACTTTGAAATTGCCGAACCTGTTTACATGATCCTGATCCAGCAGATTCTGTGTTCGACTGTGAACCAGGTCGTTTGTGACTTCTCCGGCTTCTCATTCCGTACGATGCCTCCCCGTGCGTATGTCAAGGTCTGGCTTGTCTTCTTGGTTGAGACTTGCTT